GGGAGGGAGTGAGTGAGTGAGTGAGTGAGTGAGTGAGTTAGCGAAGGTTTGCAAAATGAAGGAATGCGAACCAACGAAAGAACAAACGCAAGAACGAATGAGTCAAGGAAACCCGGAAAAAAAAAAAGAAAAAAAAAAAAGAAAAAAAAAAAAGAAAAAAAAAAAAACCTGATCCAAGCACTCAACGAACATGCGAGCACATCAATGGATGCGTGGAATAAGAAAAAAGGAACGATGAATCGATGAATCCCAAACCCTAAAACCAAGCCCGGCCCCTTGAACAGAATAGTTATTTTCTATGTCTCTCGGCTTTCCATTGCTGAGTAACGATCTGAGAGACTTGGAATGATTTGACGAGCGCCCTGGGTCACGTGGAACCCAAGGGAGGGCACTGGAGTGGCTTCCCGCACTTTGAGCGGTTTCGGCACATCCGTGTGTGAATCAAAACTGGCGTTTGGTGGAGAGCGGCCAAGAGGCGGCTGCAAAAGGACACCCACCATTTTCATAAGAAGCGTTGCGGCTCCAGCGTGGTGACCAAAGTAAAAGAGTCAGTGCAGTGTCTTGAGAAGTTAGGCAGGCCAAATGTTCCACCCTAACCGAAATCAACGCGAGATCATGATCATAAAACGGGCTCAAAATCCATCAAAGGTGCATGACTCAATGGCCCTGGCTCCCTGACTTGCGTTCAAAAAGAACTCTTGCCATTGCGAAAGGAACCCCAAGTACAGGCCTGATAGTATCGCGCTTGACCACGCATCAACGTGCGAATCAACAACAACTGCCTTCTGCATGGCTTGCAGGCCGTCGCTCCTCGGAAAATGCGCCGAAGAAAGATACGCGCGCTTCCATCCGTGCCGTGGGCTATTGAGGGAGGGGCGTTCGTTGTGAACGTTTTGCGGGTACTGGTTGGTTCCCTCATTGAACACACACACACACACATAATCGCACATCTACTCACACAAACGCGCCCAACCACCCACCCGTACCTCAGGTCTCAACTCCCCACAAGCCCCTGGCAACTGCCTATTCTGGCGCTGCAGGGTGTGCAGCTCGTTGTCCTTAGGCGTGCGAGCACGAGGCCTTCCAAACGTGCGCTGACCTGCCACTCAGGCGCGCAGATTTCCACACGACTGACCCCGCTAGACTTTCACACGCCGCGTGGCCAAAGTGCTTCACAGGTCCCACTGCAGTAAGTCTCCCGCTGGTGGTGGTGGGGGAGCCCGAGCCTGGCCAAAGCAATTGGATGGCAAGGAAGAGTAACTCTCATTGTGCCCCAGCTACACGTCCCTGGATGGGGACCCAAGCTTTCCCACCATTCCAACTCTCCCACTCGGTTGTTCAAAGGGGATCCCAAACCCAAAGCCCCCAGCAGGCGGCTCGCCTGCTCGATGGTCTCGCGCGCTTGGCTCAGCTCGCTTTTCAGCCGCCCGACCTGCATCCCCGTGGCAAGGAGAAACCAATGCGCAGGATCTTGAATGGAAACCCCGCTCTGGAGGTCAGAGAACTGGAGCTGCGCGGTGAGCCGATCATCCCCTTTTGAGACAGCAGCAATGCTGGACGTACTGTGAGCCGGGCCATGGCACGAAGGACATCCTGCAACGGCTGAAACTGACAAGAAAATGCTCTCTTATGTGAATCACATGCCTGGAAGAGAGAATATCAGGCAAGACTCAGCAGCCGCCGTTTTGTTTTGCTCCATGCTTCCGTACTCTGGCAGAACGACAAGGTGCAGTTAACAACGCCCCCTGGTTGCTACCCCTTCTGCCCTGGTTCCTCTTCACTCCGCTCGTCTAGGGGCAAAGGCAGGGGGTAGTGCACCTGAGCGCTCCGCAGTTTTGAAGCAATAGCATGGCATGTTTCGACAAGCTGTCAAGCGTGACGGTATGCGGCCCTTATGGCCTGACCCAAAACAATCCAGAGAGCAAAGACCGTCCGCCTGCCCAACGCCTCAACCCCAAACCCTAAACCTACACCCTTTGTCAAAAGCCTGGGACATTGCGCTGGCTGGCAAAGGATGCATCTGGGAAGGCAGGCAGAAGAACGTCAGCTCTCGAGCTTACGCTACGGCGCGACTGCCCAGCCTTGTCAAATTCTGCACGGTACGTGAGGATCATGTACCTGGGGTGGCGAGGTCTCAGGTCTGGAGCTACAGGGACGATTCTAAAATCCTGCAGGCCAAGCTCAGCTCGAATGAATGCTGGCCTTTTGTCTGACTGTGCCGTCGTCGGATTGGTCGTCGGAGGGCCCTAGCAGTTCCGCACACTTGACAAGGTCTGTGGCAACAGTGCTAGCTGAAGAATGTTGATGTCGACCCCTTACAGTACACAATTTATGTTTGATGATCTGTTTTCTTGTCTTGAACCCTTCTGCTTGCTCAACCAGAGATTTCGTGGCCTTCCCGCCTCCCCAGCAATCACACACCCGCCCGCGTCAGCCAGCAATGACCCACGGACGTCTCAGCGCGGCCTGCGGATTCGCGTGGCGCCGGAGCATCTCCAAGTCTCCTGAGTCTCAAGCCAGCAGTGCTTGCTGGGCCTAGTCCCATGAAGACCCACAGGTGGTTGTTCATTTGCTTTTTTTCTCCCACACAGCTGAAGACCCACTGGCTTGTTTTGTCCCCCCACACTGCTTTTTCACAGCTCATATCATGTCGACACAAAGTGACTGGGCAAGCCGCGAGCCGTCAAGACATCCAGGTAAACACAGTCTGACCTGCAGCAGGGGCATTGCAGTTGAGCTCAAGACAAACATCAGCACCCTTTGTCGCAAGATGTTGTGGTGCAACCAGGCTCTCGCGTTTTGTGATGTGCCATGCTGTGCCTGTTGTTTGGGTCCTCTACCTTTTTGAAAAACCTAGCTATGAAGGTTGGACCAGCAAATCACCGCTCCAGTCCCGGAATCCCACGCAGGGAAGCAAACAAGCAAACAGACAAAAAGATGAATGTGAAAATTCATGCAGGGCGTATTTTTTGCTTGAAACCCGGCAGCTGGCCGAAGTTTCAAATCGACCCGCATTTTCGCGTTTTCTCTTGTTACCCGGGCTAAGGGCCAAGCTCCTGAGCCAATGCGGACAGCAGCATCCGCACGAAAACGTCAAACCTCATCCCAGCGACCCGCTCCCACGCCGGAAGGTGTCAAGAGCAGCGCATCCAGCGAGTGTCTCGGCCCTACGGCCCAAAACCGGCGCGAGGCCGCGGCTTCTTGGCATTGCCAGTGCGGCGGGTAATCTCTTCCACGAAGTTGGCGGCAAAGCGGGATCGCCAGCGTCGGCCATCCTGTCAGCGAAGCACCCCAATCGCAGTCGCGAAAATGCAGACCTCGTCTGCTCCCAGAGTCGCGAAGGAAACTCATCACTTGTGTAAGGACTGGGCCCTTTCAAGAAGTCGGCAAATGTTGCGTTTCTATCATTGCTCAAAACCTACCCAGGCTTGAATTCCCAGAAAGTTCGCGAAAATGGCCAGCTCGGCGGTCCTCTGCATGCTCTACCTGACAGCACAACTTGAACACGTGCGGCTGAATGTGTCCAAGCCACCCCCAGCCTCCACACTCAGGGACTCCGTGTCTCCAGAGACTGAAAGGACGTACTCAGCATCCTGAGGCCCCAGAGAAGTTCCATCCGTGTGCGTGTCCAAGGCGATGCAAGCAGCTGGTGCTTCTAATGGAGAGCTCTCTGGGCCCACAGCGTTGAACTGCCTCCGCTCTGATTTGGCAAAGAGGGCCTGACGTGGCCGATCGGAAAAGGTGCACCGGGCAAGAAGAATTCAGCCATCCAGCCATCCTTTAAAGACACATCGTGCATTCACTGGGCGAAAAGTGTGGTTTGCGTCACTTTCTGCAAAAGACAACGACTTCCACTGCCTGCCCTCGATACGCATATCGTCAAAGCCGCTCGAACAAAGGGCAAGTTGCACCTCCATGACTGGCGCCACGTCTCGATTAGTGCGCCATTGGCGGCTGGCCGCACGTTGCAAATCCGATTGGCTCCTTGTTTCCACCCTGCTGCTGGCACATTCATCATGTAAACACTCAGAAAGTATAATGTGTGCCAGCCTTTTGGACATTGCATATTAAGTGTTGCGTTTTGCAACTCTACTGTGGTTGCGGCATGTGAGTAGGGCGCCAGTCTGGCACATCCTCTGCAAGCCGCCTGATGCAAACATGTCTTTCCCAAGTGCAACTGCTATGAGGTGCTAGTCTTGGATTTGGGCCGTGGCGGACAAGTTCCATTGATGTTCCCAAGGTTGGATGTTGGAGATGAATTTTAGTCATCGTCACTCCCCCCAGTAAGCTTTTGCCAACACAGAACAGCAAGTCTTTTTCATCTGGTTTCTGCAAAGCAAGGCTGCCCAAACCATCCCAAACCTTCTTGGCTCATAGAATATAGTACAGTGTGGCATAGGGGGTTTCGCAATATGATGTATACCAGAAAACAAACTTTGAACCAGCATAGCCCTATTTTCTCTCAATTAAGATCTCCAGCCCAAGAATCCCAGAGTGGAAGTAACAGCTGAATCCTAAAGCCTGTAATCCGCAAGCAAAAATCAAAAACAACTTAACATCACCGACCTTCTTTTCGCTCCCAGTCTGAATGCTCTGTCTTGTGCGGCCTGACCGCCTGTTTGTCGGCGTTCTGACCCATGGCCCGAGGCAGCCGATGCACGGAACCTCGAAGACTCCAGGGAGGAGGTCTCCGATTCCTCATGATGTAGGGGCCTTCGTTATTGAGAGGTTTTGGGGTATGTCAGACTTTTCGGGCGTCTTATGCTATACCATACTGATGTAGGGACTATGAGGGGATGTTTATGGCCAAATATTCAGAAGCCTGCATGAATTTGACAAACCAGCAAGACTCCCGAGGCAAGGGGAGCTCCTCACTGTGGACAAGACCGCGATAAGCAATGGCAAAAAGGGGCCTTGGCTCAAGCCACCCTTCCAAGCAAAAAGCGGCTCCAGGCCCAAAATCTCTAAACTGTAAACCTGGGCTCGTGTCTGCCAGAGGGTTTTGGCTTTTGCCGTTGCCCGGGCGCACTGAAGATTGGTCGAGGTTTGAGGGTTTCGGGTTCGCTGTTTGTGGTAGGGTGTGGCCTCAGCACGACAAAGGTTCTCAACATGTGCCTCTTTTGGGAGTGTGACCATCTGCAGCCTGAGCTTGAAAGTGGACAGCTGCCTTTACTTGATCTGTGCCTGCACCTGCTGGTCAGAAAGCCAAATGCCGTGGAACCCCAATGGGACTCGCACAGGCAACGCAAGCTGACAAACGGGCTCCAAGTTGGCACTGTCCATCACCAGGAAGCTAGAGGGCCCGTTGCCATCCGGCTCTACCAGGTAGGTCACAAGGTATCCTTGGTCTTCGGCGTCGCCAGTGCCTGTGAAGAACGCCTCTCCGGCTGTGAGCTTCGCCGGGTCCACCTTGCCGCTCTCGCAGCAACCGTAGCTGGAGCTGGTCCCCTTCTCCAAGTCGAACTTGAAAATGCGATGAAAGTGGGGCTCCCCTTCGTAGCTGCCAGCGGCCCAAATGTATCGGCACTTCCGACCCATCCCTTTGAGGTTGACGACCGGGAATTCCAGGGACGTGAAGCCGGAGAAAAGGCATTTCTCGGCGACGGTCTTGTTCTTCATGTCAAAGCGGTACTCGTACATTTTCTTGTCAAAGCCCGGTTTCAGAAGATCCTCCTTCACTGGGTGCCCAGACATGTCGATCCCGTCCCAGCGGACAACTACGAGTACCACCGTGTCGCCTTCTTCCCATGAATTGGCCACGTGGAAGATCCAGCATGTTTCGATCTCGAACCATGTGGGCGTGACCTTCCCGCTCTCGCCATCCTTTGGGAAAATGCCGATGCGAGTGCCGTGCGACGGCTCGTACCTCCAGAGGATCTTTTCCGAGGTGAAATTCTCGACGTTCACAAGGACCGGGGCATCAATCACAAGCGCATACTGCTCTGTTATCCCCAGGTCATGAATCATGACCGACTTGCCCCCGCCCATCGTGCCAGTGCAGGAGCGCTCCTGCGTGCCATCGGGGGAGATCACACCATAGGAGAATTTGGGACTTAGGCCCGAGATGTCGTAGTCGAGCCAGTAGAGCTTTCCCGACACAGGGTCGATCTTGGGATGCGCATTCCACATGTCTTTGTAGAGGTACTTCTCGTCCGACTCCATCTTACCATCTTGTAGCACAAGAAGCTCCATGGGCATGTCGCCTTCAGACAAGGCCATGAGCTTCGAGCTGTGATATACCAAGCTTGTGTTGCTCGGGCCACTGACAGTGCCACGTTGAAGCCCGATCTTCTCCAACACCATGGAGACCAGGAAGCCTCGCATGGAGCTTGAGTTGGCGATCTTGTCCCAGTGAGGACCTCCCGTCCTTTGCTCGGCATTGAAATTCTTCGTCCGAAGGATGTGATTGTTGTACCATGCCTTGCCATCCTTCAGCCTGACGGTATGGACCATCCCGGTTCCGAGGAACCAGTGATAGCTCTGATCCTCCTTCGGTAGATTCCACCATGGGTTCGGCCCGTTCCGCACATAGGCGCCCTCCAGATCTTTAGGAAGGGTAACCCCGGCGGGCAACGGGAGCTCCGCAAAGACTTCCTCATGTACTGGCGCATAGGGACCATTGAATGCCCAGTGCTTCGCCTTCATTATCACATCAGGCTTGATCAGGCCTTTGGTTTGGCTGGCGGAATTTCCCATCTTTCGCCGAAATGTGCGGCAGAAAGCTGCTTTGACAAAAACACGATTCTTCAGCCGAAATGCTTCAGGCGTGCACAAGTATGCCGACCGCTGCTGCTGCATTTGTCGAGAATCAGAATCCCTCCGAAAGCGTTCAATCAGCATCGAAGCTCTCATCACCCACGAGAGATTCCTGAAAGAGCACACTGGGACTTCTGAGTTTGTTGGCCACCAATGAAGCATATATATTGCATATACATATATATATATATATATGTAATTATATATTCGCCTCGGCCCCGGCCGAAGCGGGCAGAGGTTTTGACAGGGACTCCCTGTTTCCGCCGCAGTGACCCACCTTAGCCGGCAGGACTGACCCCCCCTTAAATTGGATTTCGGGTTGGCAACCCCTACGTCCAGACATTCTGCTGGCGGAGAGTGGGCTTGCCGAGAGCACCCCCCAAAAAAATCTGGCCCCCCCCCCCCCCAACACCCCACCCCCACTCCTTGCGGCGAGGCAAGACGGGCAAGCTTACATGTCGTGAAGTTGATGCCAAAGCCATGGAATTCTGGGGCTGTGTCTTGCACTTCGTTGCAAAGCTTGATTCCCCTTCCAACATGACCTACCCGTTGCTTTCCGAAACAATGCACCTGCTTCAAGTACAGCCGGCCCAAGGCGGACGGCGCGAAGCGTTTAAAATAATATATACACACCATATGCTTGACGTAATGGTGTGGATATAGATGTGTATGTATATGTATACACACATGCAATGCCGTTACTATGTGTGAGTGTAGGTGTGTATGTATGTATGTATGTATGTATGTATGTATGTATGTATGTATGTATGTATGTATGTATGTATGTATGTATGTATGTATGTATGTATGTATGTATGTATGTATGTATGTATGTATGTATGTATGTATGTATGTATGTATGTATGTATGTATGTATGTATGTATGTATGTATGTATGTATGTATGTACGCATGTAGACATGCATGTATGTATGTGAGTGTGCATACATATACACCTGCATGTACGTATGCATACAAACATGAATACATTCATTCATACATAAATACATGCACAATATCAGCAACAGCCCTCTGCCCCATTGCCTCGTCTTGGAATCGGCTTCCTCTTCAGCATCAGTCCCCAAACTCTAAACCTTACATAGGCGGCTAGCCTAGACTTCAAGCCCAGAATGATTGGCAGGCAAGGTTGAAGAAGCGCGCATGCAGCTTCGAATCTCAAAACTCGACCTCGCCCCCGTTGGCCGTCTCTTGGCTGGACTTGCTGAGCTGCGATGTGACAGGCACAGGTACCTTAGCCAACAACCCAAAAGTCTAAGCCTTAATCCCGTTACCCTTACCCTCAACCTTCAACCCTACGTGTAAAAGAAGCCCTGCTGTCCCGAACATCCGACAGCGCAGAGTGGCGAAGGAGCGGCTCTCCAGGCCTTTCAGATGAAGCCAGGACGGAGGGGATAGCTACCATGAAACACGGAATCATGATGCATGCGTTGTGGGGCATGAAAGCCGCAGTGGACAACTAACCGCCGATAGAGGAGCTGCGTAACTGTATATCATTGTGAAATCAAGCCGCAACTACACATCTGCTTTTGTGTCGTACGCAAGCAAATGTAGACACACACACACATACATATATATATATATATATACACACATATGCATGCTTTCATACATGCATACATACAAACAAGCAGACAGACAGTCTGGCAGATAGACCAAAAAACCACAAACACAGTGGCACGAGGCAGTAGCATATCCGTCTGCCTCCGTCCCGCTCTACACATACGTTCTTGCTGCTCTTCCCTGCTGTGTTACACGTCATACCCATTCGATGCAGGAGTATCAGCCATACTCCTACCAATCACTTACTATCATCATCGTTGCTGCTACTCCTGTAGTAGTCTGCACCTGTTCGGAACGTTGCTGTGATTGCTAAGTGTGACTGCTATTGCTACTGCCATTGGCTGTGTTCCCTAACACTGTGATATTTGCGGTCACGAGTATTCAGACTCAAACTTGGCAGCCCTCAGCCGCAAGTGAGTCTCGTTTGTGGCACTGACTGACACAGTCAGCAAGGGCCAGCTGAGTATGTGGCCAAGCTTGCGTGGCGATCGTCTTTGCAAGGATTGTCCAACGGTCGATGAAGAGCGATCGAGAGTATGATAGACTGCATACGAATCGTAGGTGTGGCTTCTTGTTTACGCTTGTGTCCCTGTATGTCAACTGTCACCAGCGGTGAAAGCCCTTCAGGCTGATCCTTGCCGAT